TACGACATATCATCCTCAATTGATTATTTAATGCCGACAAGATGTTTTTTCAAAAATTTATAGCTGGTAATAATTTTTCTTCAAACATTTATTGCTGGTAGTAATAATAATAAGTATTTCTGATTAAAACCCATTTTTTACACTTTCTTAGTGTTTTGACCCCAGTTTCGGAGTTAGCTATTTACCTATAGCTGGGACCCTAACAGGTGCTACCACCCCGGATCAGGGTGGACCTAGGAACAACAGTAATTAAGAGGTGGTCAGAGAACTTGTTGTTGGACATAGTTTATCATCTTACCCTGGACGCACATGTTGTTTATAGTCATACCCAGGACGCGGATGTAGTCTCAGTTTCGGAGTTAACTATTTGCCCATAGCTGGGACCCTAACAGGTGCTAACACCCCGGGTCAGGGCGGACCTGGGAACATCAGCAATTGAGAAGTGGTTCCACGCTCCTCAAAGCCTCCTGATCAGAGGCCTTGCAGCTGGACTTAGTTTATCGTCTTACCCAGGACGGACATTAGGGTTTAGAGATTGCCATTAAGCACGTAGGAAGGGACAAGTTGTGCAGGCATGCAATAATTTTTTGAGGATATTTGGTTTGATGGAGGGAGGTGGAGTGGAATTATTTTTATACACGGAGTTATGCATTATGTCGATAGTTTGATTTGGGACGTTTGTCAATATATTTTCAATGTTAAGTGATGCTAAAATACCTTAGGCATAAAAATAGAAACAATAAAAAAAACTGAAACGATGAATATACAGATAAAAACAATAACATTAACATCTTTTACAAAATACATGTAAACTATAAACAAGACACATTTTCTCTTAAAAATATCTTCAAGAAATACACCACCCCAGTCGAACCAAACAAAAAAAATTAAAACTTAAATCAGATAACCTTATCATCAAAAATAACAATACACCCACAAAATCAAAACTACACAAAGAACCAAAATTATAAACAAGTTCAAACGACCCTTAAGGAACTGTGTTTCTGATCAAATCAAACTCATGAATAATTACATTGGCCACACTACTACATGCCATCATCCAATTTACTTACATTGCACCTACCCGACCATAGCTCCAGTGGGATTCATTTAAGCAAACACAAAAACCTCCCCGACACCATCCGAAACATTGTGGGAAATTTGTCCCGGCTTTCCCACATGAAAGGGTTGAGGTTAAAAATTGCGACAAAATTGAATAAAAACAGCAACTATGGCTTGAAAGATTAGAGCGGACAAACTTTCTCTTTCAGGCGGACGAATAAAGAAAGACTCAAAACTCCTGCTCGATGTGTAACAATAAAAGAAGAAAGTGTTTATTTACATGTACAAAAAAAGGGGTAAAGGGATACACAACTACGAGAGAAAGAAAGGGAGAAGAAAAAGTCCTTTAACTTTGAAGAGAAAATGTCCATAAAAGAAAAAAAGGCTTGCTCAAAATATTTCTCTGAGCGCCTAAAAGTAGATTTTTGTTAAGGGTCAAAAACACTCAGTTTTCTTCAGAGTTCTTGCAGAGTAGGAAAATATCGGTAGATACGGATTTTTATAGTTGAGTGAGTTCGTAGGTCGATTACAAAAGTCTTGTAGGTGAAAAGATGAAGCTTTCAACTGGTTTTTAATAGTCAGTACACGTTTCTTCTCGACAGCATTTAGTTAGTAGTTCTTTCTGACAGCGAAGATTCTGCTTTTCCGTTGCCGACCTTTGTTGTTTCTCAGACGATTGTCACTTACTCACTGCCAAATAGGCGAAAATTCTCCAAATTTATTGAGATTTAGGAGGCTTGGAAATATCGGGTACTTTTTCCTTCAAAATTGTTATACAAATGTCCTGACTCCTTCATTGGTTAGAATATATATTCGATAAGGATCAAGGCTTGGAGAGCCGGTTTTGAAAGCAAGAGTCCAACAATCTGAAAGCGTTTCACCCCAACTTTATGGCACCATGGAAAGGATAATGCTGGTGGAATTCCTTTATATATTTTTCAGCTCTCTCGTTAGTCAGAAAATATATTCTTATCTATGATAAGAATCTCTAGGCTTTGGGAGCCGGTTTTGAAAGCAAGGGAAAGGGTTAGGGTGAGGATTGGAAAATAGGCTACAATGTGAACTTTGGTGATTCTCAAATTAAATTCCAATAACATACTAGTAGAAAATACAATTATGATAGCCACATCCACATGTAAAAAAAGATTTAAAAAATGATGAAATCCCTAATAATAAAAAAGGAAAAATCAACACTCAATAACACTATGAACACAGCCACAATGTGCTCATCATCGTGTTCGGAAAATAAAACATTCCTAACTTTAAAAACCACATAGTTAAAAATAAAAATAAAAATCGCCGTTAGTGCTCGGATGTGCAGAACTTTACTTTTTACACACTTTGTGTCCAGAAAAGAAAACAATTGTACGAACGCAAGAAAAATTAAAAGCTTAAGGAAGCCTTAATCGCAATAACTTGTCAGTCGTAACGAACACACACACATACATAAAGCGTACGTTAGGTTAAAAAAAAAAGTGATAAAAATCATTATGCGAGAACATTCCCACCACCCGTTTGTCTTCTTTTTCTTTCTTTTTTCTGTAAACTGTAAATCATAAATTTTAAATTGTCATAAATACATGTACACAGTAAGATAGGATTAAAAATGCATAATTAATTAATTATGCATAATACTAATAGACATATTTTTAATTTTTAAATGTCTGTTAGTCGCAAAGTGTGTCATAAAGTTTTAAAACTAAAAAAGTATCCATAGTTTATTACTCACTACACTGCAAATTATTATTAATCCCTAGAAAAACGAATACTTCGATGTGATAGGTTAGCAAACTTATCTCACTAGATAAATAAATTATGACCGAGTTTGTGAGTTAGATCTTCCAGGGGTGTTCTATGCATGCAGTCCTGTGTGCCACATCTACGCTTAATTAATTAATTAATTAATTAATAAATCACCATTAGTTTAAAAAGTAAATAAAATTAAAAGCTATTAAGTCAGGTCATTTTTAAGCAGTTAGAATTAAAAAAATTAAGTAGTTATTTAATATTTTAAAAAGGAAAAATGTTAATCTCAATACGGACCACAGACTGTTTATTTTTCTGTTTTAAAACTAAAAAAAAAAAATCTCAATAATTTTCATTTTTAAACTAGGTTATGTGTGCAACATAAAATTTAAATAATAATAATTTAATACAAACGTTAACGTGGTTGAAGTAGTTACGTGATTTCCACTAATGCCAGTAGTGTGCAAACCAGGATTTCAAATGTTGATTTTTAAGATAGATAGGCCCTTGTCCACATAGCGCGAGCATTTATGTCGTACCCACTCATTTTAGGGATATTGTGCGAGCACTTGCATAAGGTGGTTAAATTAAGATATCTAGAGTAACTTCCCTTGTCCAGGAGGATGAGAAACAGGAAAACATTATATGGTTGAAAAGTCCCTAACAGTAAAATCCGAATGTTTCCCACTTCTTTTGCCAGACCTTCGTTTATTATCTCTGGAAAGTCTGTTCGTAACAGTCTTCTTACCAGTAACTTGCTTGCTCGGTTGACGCGTCTCTCCGTGAGTTGAATTGTTTTAATTTTTTACGAGCACATCCATGTGTTTTTTTTAGTTCATCTTGCTCTTATCTTGTAAATTAGTTTAGTTTTTTTTTAATTAGCAAAGAATGCACTTCTTACTTATCATTCAGGTCATACGTGCTTGTAGGCTTTTTATGAGTACAATCGCAATAGATACTAAGTAATAATAAAATATATTAAATTATCCCCTCCCTGAAATGTTTGTCTTTTTTAAAGTACACTAGCTAAAAAAAGGAAAAAAAGTAAAAGAAGAAATATTAAGATCCTTGGCTTCTCTGCCATCATACTTTATGAAATCAATAACCTTTTTTTTCTTTGGTACTAAATAAGTTTGTATTAAATGACACTAAGTGAATGTGTTTAAACAGGACACATACACACACAAACTGTTTAGTGTTTCAGTAAAAAAAAAAGTAACAAACTATTTTCACGCACGTGCAATTAAACAAAAAAATCTACAAATATAGTTGCTTTATTTGTTACCCTGGTTAAAAAAAAAAAACTTCTTTATTCTGTCTTTTGTTGTTTGCGTAACTGTAGCATAAAGACACGGAATGTTATTGTTAAACCTGTACTCTAGTTTTGAAATTAATTCTCTATAAACCGTTATGTTTTAATTTTTGTTTTGTTCATTTATTTTTATTAAGTCAAACAAAACAAATTTTTACAATAGTTGTTTCGACGTGTGTGCTCTTCACTCTCTAGTTTGTCTGTGTTTCTAGGAATTATTTAAAAATAAACAATAATCTTACAAAAACTTACATTGCATGTATGTGTATGTTTATATTTTTTTCTGATTGACAGATTTCAAACCTGCAATTTAGACTTACGGAGTCCGCTACATAAATTTTAGCATGCATCATTTAAAAACTGAAAATCAGTTTATTTCCATTTTTTTTTTTTTTTTTTTAATAATGAAGGTATCGGCAACTCCACAAAAAAATATTTTTGTTAATTTTCTTAAAATTTCAGCAAATCATATTTCGATGTGTTCACAGTTGACATTAAATATTTTTAATGATGTAATTAATTATAATTAATACCTTGGGAGATTTAGCTTTAAAAGTATAAAAAAAAAAAAATTAGGTAGGAACATCCCCAAATTTGCTCGTACGAGTTAGCCACGAGTTACGTAAAAAAATTAAATAATAAATACCTCCACAAAACTTAAATATTTTTCAATATAATGATCGAATAATTTCCAGATCGTTGGTAAATTTTAAAAACATTTATTGATTTTTGCAACTAAATGTTATTTTGATTGTTGTCTGGGTCAAAAAATATTGTTTAACTTAACATTTAACAACATTTAGTCAGGGTCAGCCCACTCTCTAACTTGTCCGCGCCCGTCTTATGTATATAATCGACATTTACATGACTTAAAGTAGTAAACTTATTGCAAATTCTTTAAATAAACTAGAATAGCTATCATTTAAAACTTGTTTGTCAATAAAAAATATTCTTTAATATTTACTTCAAACTAAATTAGCACATCAACACAACCGTAAAAAAAGCGATTGTTTTCTTTTATAACCAGCATTAAAATGAAAATAACTGATATAATTTCAGTTTGTAAAACTATTTAGAAGTTATAATAATTAAACATCTAGAAAATTAAAATCACTGCTTTATTAAAATTTCTAAGATTATTTTTAACATTCTGAATTTAAAAAAAAAACCTTATCTACTTGAAACTGAAACACAATGATACAAAAAAATTCTTTTCCTTGCTTTGTTTACCTCAAAGTCAAATAAATTTAAAGTGTTTGTCATATTGATATCATCATTTCATTTCAGTTTATGAAACTATTTAGAAGTTTATATGTAGAAAATTAAAAGTAAAATCAATGAAGCTTGTCAGTGACCCTAGGCTGTCAACCGGGCCCTGCATTTAGACGAGATAGAAAATTGAAAACAAGTAATAAGGCTGTGTTTGGGAAAGTTTCACCCAACACCGCAAATTACTATAAAATCAAAACATTAACCTAAAAACTTGAGTCTTGTTTTTAAATAAGTTCGTTTTTTTTTATTTTTGTTTTCCCAGAAATGAAAGTAAAAAAAATCACTAACTTTGTAAATTTTTTTTTTTTTTTTTTTTTTTTTTTTTGCGGGGATGTCAACTATACCCACATTTCGAATCATAAATACAGGGTGTCCATAAAGTTCGTGTGCACTTTAAAAAATTATAACTCTATTTGTATTTGCGATAGAAATAATCTGTAAAAAAAATGTTACAAAAATGTACCTAGTTTTATAGCTAAAATAACTAATGTGACTTCAGGCATTAAATCAGTTGGCAAATGTTTAGTCTTCCGTGAACTGCAAAAAAATCTATTATCCTTTGTATTGCTAATGATGGAGGACATGTGGAAACTTAAATAAAATTTCAATAAAACCTTAAAAAATATAGATTTACTTTTTTCTAATCTTTTTTACAAATTATTTCTATCGCAAATACAAATAAAGTTATAATTTTTTTTTAAAGTGCACACGAACTTTATGGACACCATGGACTTTTAAAATGTGGGATTACTTTCTAATAGTTTTAAAAGAAAAATCCTAGAAGATATTATTTCAGAAAAAAAAAAGTTTCAAAATAAGAAATTTTTTTGTCCTGAAGTAATTCAAATAAAACTTAACAAAAAGTAATTTTTTTTTTTTTTTTTTACAAAAGTTGGTGCTTACTTAAATAATAACTTAAATAAAGCATATTATTGTCCTTCAGATTTGACAACGGGGGGGAAATCTACGATGAACATTTTGAAAAATTTACTTGTAATTTTTTAGTGCGATTTTGAAATTATTCTGTTTGCTGATGACAAGAGATAAGAATCTGTTTGAAGAATCAAAAAATGTAAAATTTGATGCCATTTTCGAAATATTTTTTAAAAGAATTTTATTATTTAATAATTTAATTTATTATCAAGAATTGTTAGAACATTTTTTTTTTTTTTTTGTATGGAAGATCAGATAGTGAATAATTTGTCGGAGTTAGCTCCTCCTTAATTCCCTAATTATTCACTAGGGGTCTCTCTCCCTATACTATAAATACTGGGGCAACTTCTTGCCTTGTTCTCTTTTTCCTTTCTTCATGTGTGAACACATCCACAATATAAGCTCTCTTAGAAGATAACATCTCCCCACATCTGGGAAGACGCCATGAACATTATACACACATACACAAACATTCACCAAAAAACAAACACAAATGTTCATGTCTATGCCCATTGTAAAATTGTGTTGTTTAATACATATATTTGTTGACATATATATATATTTTATATATATATATATAGGCCCTGTTAGTTTTCTTTTCATCTTCTCCTCTTCCCCTAGTCCTGTACAAATTGGTGACTTCCTGACGTGATTTTTTTTTAACTCCTGCTAACAAAAATGCAAGACTGTATATACGTAAGAAACACAAAATTTTACACACACTTTCCAAACAAGAGCCAGTCAAAAAACATTGAAAAACTCCTAATACGCACACCAGACACTATTGACCGAAAAACAACTTTTATACAGCAACAAAATTTGTGGTTAAACCAGATGAAAGTGCAAAATCACATTTTAATTCGCTACAATATGTCTATACAGAACACATTTCTCTGGCGTGGCAAATAGAATTTTTCTACAACACGTGGAAACCAGAGAAGCCATAATCGACAATTAACTACAACTACTACTACTATGACATAAGCAATACAACACATCTTCTCCCAACTGGTCTATTTTGACCCTTTATTTCTCTCGATGACATTTGACCTAATTTCACCCAGCAGACATGCTTAAACATATATTCTACACCATGTGCAACATTTTACACCACTGCTTATCAACATTTCAACATTGCTTACCATGCCCTTAATGGACGAAAGTTTTATATGCTGAAGAGATTAAATGCGAAATAATCTTCAGATGACCCACTGTCTTTGAATAAATTCTGCCTGATGCAATCTTCAGACGACCCACTGTCCTGAAATACATTCTATGAGATGCAACTTTCACATAAAAGTTTGCTGACGATATTTACTAAATACTATTTAGTTATCCCTAATACACAAATTTTTCAACTTCGCCACAACATTCTCACTTCAACATAAATCCGCATGCATTTTGACTCACTGAATTTATGCGGACCATTGGAATTACTGTCATTATGTTGAAGCACTAGTTCTTGTATGATCACCAACATCAAGCCTGGTCAGTACCTCGATGGGTGACCACTTGGGAATACCAGGTACTATAAGTTTGGATGTGCAGGTGGTATAATGGATAATGGCTAAGAATTCCATTTGGTTTAGTTCATATTCACTTACGCATAAATACCCGACTATGGATTATTTAGTAAAACTTGTGTCACTAAATCGTTAACTCAAAAAGAAAAAAAAATTCTGACAATCTAAAAAATATTATCTGGCTTTAAATAACCTGCAATGGGTCAATAAGCTGCATAAAATGAATGAATGAATGAATCAATCAATTCCTCATCTCAAAAATTAAGAGAAAAAAATCATTTAGGAAAAAATTTGGAGATTTTGTTTCATAATTCGTCGAATGCCAAGTTTTCAGAAAACTATTAATTTTAAATTCTGTTCTTGATTTTTCAGATGGAAAGCAAACGACCAAGTTCTGATTTGGCTGCTTTTCGGGAGATCTTTAGTAAGGCCAAAAATATTGTGGTGCTAACTGGAGCAGGTATCAGTGCTGAGAGTGGAGTGCCAACGTTTAGGGGGCCTGGCGGATTTTGGAGAAAATGGCAAGCCCAGGTAAGTTATTCTAAAATATCACTCGGGTAACATCAAGTCATTTGAGGTAAGAAACTGACTTTCATTTGAAAGAAAGAAAATAATTTTTGTTTTAATTGTTGAATGAAAAATAAAAAAAAAATGTAAGCAAAAGAATTATTACATTTGACATGCATTTAAGCTTTGACATTTTCCAGAATATGTCTGAAAATATAGACGTCATAAGCTCCTAAAACATAGACATCACAAACTTATAAAATAAACTTCTAAAATATAGATGTCACAGACTTATAAAAAAAATTCTAATATAACAGAGTTTTGTAGAGTAGTTTCACAGTGGAGGCTTGTATTTCACTAAGTCGGTCCTAAAATAGGTTCGACATACAAAACGTTAGGAACTTGATATAATAGGTAATGACGCAGAGAAATCTACTTTTAATATCCAACTAACGGTCATCCGACATCGACTGACTGACCAACTCCCTGAGTGACTTAGCAACTCCTACTTATTATAGGTGGGAGAGTCTATTAACTATAGAATAGGTGTGTTCCACTATACAGAACTTGGTAATGTAACATTAGGTACTTAAGGATGTGTAGCTGTTCTGTTACTATTTAACCAGTGAAGTCCTTACAGCAAGGCAAGACTAAATTAATCTTTTTTGTAAGACCTGTACATCTCTCTTTGAGGCTTTTTGGAGTTTACATCTATTTACATATATTTTCTTACCCAAAATGTAAACAAAGTAATTCAATCAATTATTGAATTTCTCCAAACTGATAATGTTATTACTGTGTTATTTTAGTGGGTACAAATAGCAGATGGATACAAAGGGTGGATGAACTTCTTCTAGGAGCCAATGGCCAACATGTGTATGTATATATTCACACACAAATATACACACAGTCCTTGAAAATAAATGTAAAACCTTCAAAAATACTCAGAGGGGGGGGATATGATATAAAAATAAATATGAACTTTGGAAAATTTAGCAATAACATAAAACATTTCATTTAGAGATTTGAAATGAAAAATTTGATCTTTTCAATAAATATATATATATATATATATATATATATATATATATATATATATATATATAGCATTCACTCAGTGTTCTTCACCACACAAGTAAAAAAAAATTTAAGCTTTCAGATGAACACAGCAATTTTGTCTTTCAAAATGATGAACACTACAATATTTGTCTCAAAATAAACAACACCCTGAGGATGACATTGTGCTAATGTTGAAAGTACTTGGAATAAAATAATATGTATCAACACAATGTTTTCCTCTCTTCCTTTAAAAATGACACCAAAAAGATTGTCCATGAATATGAAAGGATCCAATTGAAATTAAGTAGACAAACAAATTATTCAATGAAACATGTCTCTTTCTTTCTCTCTCTCTTTATATATATATATATATATATATATATATATATATATATAACTTGGATTGGGTATCAATAAATGGTGTCTCGATAAAAACACTCGGTAAACTACTTTTGAGTATCTGAGTTGGATGTCAGGAAGAGCATCCAGCCTTTGTAAAATCTTGCCTCAAATCATTATGAAAAATCCTTTGTCAGGCAGAATCAACTTTGCTTTGTGCAAGATTAATTACAGTATTGCCTCAACAAAAAAAAACATGGCTCTGTACGTACGTACGTATGTATGTATGTATGTATATGTTTGACTAGATGTCCTTGTTTATTTACAAGCAGTGATAACTAACCTACTGACAGAGGAATAAACAGAATATTATTATTATTAATAATAATAATAATAATGGCATAATGTGGAAGGTTGAGGTGGGGGCTAAAATTTTGTCATTGTAAAATTATTAAGTTTGTCAACAAGGAAAAGGAATAGAAGAAAGCTAAAGTATAAATCCCAAATTTTTATATTCCACAAATTGTTGAGGAGTTTTACAAAAATTGTTTTTCTTTTAGTCCCGTTTCTTCTGAAGGCCATTTTTGTATGATAGGAGATAGAAAAGACACAAGAAGATTTCTTAACTTGAACTGTTACATCCAGCTGCTACTTGGATTATCACAGGGACTGCTTCGACTTTGACTACTTGATATATTGTCCTTTTATTAATACCTCATGTGTGAATGTCATAGTAGACACAAAATGCACATGCATATTTAACAGACAAAATTTTTAATTCAATTTGAAAGTGTTTCATGAAGAGTATAAAATTTCTAATAAGTTAATAACTATATATGCTTAAATGCTAGAACTTTGCAGATTAATAAATTTGATATAGGTTTTAAATGCTGTCTAAATTTTATTTTAAGTTTAATGTGTCCACTCAGTTGGTAATTTGTATTTTAATAATTTTCAATAAAAAGAGGTTTCTATTTTGTCTGGAACTGATTAATTAATAGAATATGTTCTAATAATGTGTCCACTGTAATTTGAATCTGTATAATTTGGTAATTTTACCAAATCTTAATTTATACATAAAGAGCTTGTTATCTAGCATGATCAACAGTCTGAACAAACCTTCGGTCACAATGACTGATAACTTGATGCTAGCACAACCAATGACCATTCCCAAGAAATTCCATCTACCCAACTTTTACTCACAAGGCTTGGGTCAACTCGTGGTATAATTTTCAGGCACTTTCCAAAGGTGCCGCATGCTGGGATTGCCTCTCCCAGACCAATAACATGAAGAAGTCACTTTCTTGACTAATCAACCATAGTGAGATTCGAACCCTGGTTTCATGATCAGAAAGCAAATGTTCTAACCATTCAGCCATGAACCTGTAACTAATAAGTAAGGCCATGTGCTGTAACTAAGGTCTGCTCAGCATAGTTGCAAAATAAACCAAAGGTGGGTTCTGTGGATGTTGAACAAACACAAAATGTGCCTGTGCAGGCATCTGCAACAGGTATTGGCTAGCCACCATAGTAGACTAACATCCTCAGGTATGAGTGACTAGATTTTTAAAGTTCTTCACACACCCTACAGTATCGCCTCCTGGGTATGACGATACCCTACATCCGCATCCAGGGTAAGACAATAAACTACGTCCAACAGCAAGGCCTCTGATCAGGAGGCTTTGAGGAGCGTGGAACCACCTCTCAATTGCTGATGTTCCCAGGTCTGCCCTGACCCAGGGTGGTAGCACCTGTTAGGGTCCCAGCTATGGGCAAATAGTTAACTCCGAAACTGAGACTACATCCACATCCTGGATATAACTATAAACTACATGCACGTCCAGGGTAAGATGATAAACTATGTCCAACAACAAGGCCTCTAATCAGGAGGCTTTGAGGTGCATGGAACCACCTCTCAATTGCTGGTGTTCCCAGGTTCACCCTGACCTGGAGTGGTAGCACTTGTTAGGGTCCCAGCTAAGGGCAAATAGTTAACCCAGAAACTGAGGTAAAAGGCATTATAAATGTGTAAAAATAGGTTTTAATACCAGAAATACTTTGTAAAAAATTATTACCAGAAATAAATTTCTGAAGAAAAAAATATTATCAGCTATACGTTTTTGGAAAAATAATATTACCAGCTATATGTTTTGAGGAAAGAAATATTAACAGAAATAGATTTTTGACAAAAGAAAAATATTACCAGAAAAAAAGAAAAAAAAAGTTGTTGGCATTAAATGACCTATTAAGGTTGATATGCCATAAAACAAACCAAACCAAATCTACAGTATCAACCAGAAAGATTAGTAAGGCTAGCAATCATCACCAGGTACCTCATTCCAATCAGCCAGAAATAAGTAAATTCCTGACAAAACAACAGGTTTGATTTACAGAAAAAGTTGTGGCCTAAGAATATTGAACATATGCAAAATGTTATTTATGCTATTTACATGCTGACTATTGTCCATCTTTGTTGTTGTTACCACAACATTTTGGCCATTATGCACTCCAGCCTTCAGGTGTATGTTAATCCAGGTAATCTGATGAAGGCTGGAGGACACAACAGTTGCATGCATCACTATGATAACAACAACAAAGATGAAGACAATGGTCCACATGTAAATAGTGTAGATAATGATAAGTTCTCATTGACAGAAAATATACAAAATTGTTATTATTTTCTCATTTGCAAGCAAATGAGATAAAAAGTGTGTGGTTTTGCCTGAATTTCTAATATTGTTTGTTTTAATACAAATTGCCTGAAATTTTTTTTCAAAAGACTCTTGCATTGTGAAATCTTTACACTTTTTCAGGATCTTGCTAGTCCAACTGCTTTTCGGACCAATCCATCCCTAGTCTGGGAATTTTATCATTACAGGCGAGAACTGATGGGTAGCAAAGAGCCAAATAAGGTAAGTGCCATTTCCATAAGCTTTGAAAATCCAGATTTGCTCATTATTCAATCTATTGTATCTAATAAACTCTTTGTACCTTCTTGGGCTCATGTTTTCCACAGACATAAAGTAGAATGAATTTATTGAATTAGTTGCTAGGTTTACTACTAGGAAAGTTGGTTCACTGTGTCATGCTAGACAATTTTTCTCATCAGAAATCAACTTGCACATTCATAAATCAACCATTCTTCTATTCATTGAATACTGCTGCTATATCTGGTCAAGATTCTTAAGAAAATTCAAAGATGGGTCTGTAATATAATTGATCCTGACCTGGCATCATGACTTCAGTCATTCCCAACTCCATGATGTGGCTTCCCTCTGTCTTTTCTATAAATATATCTCCATGGCAATTGTTCTAATGAGCTTTCTTCCTTGGTGCCTCAATTGCACAGATTTAAACATGCTACGAAATTTGCAACTAGGTCACACTGTTTTACTGTTGAAATAGCTAGATGCAACCGTATGTTGTATTCTCTCAGTCGATCATTAATGCAAAGCGATACCAGTCATGGACCAGGAAGCACATGGATTGTTGTAGAGTAGTTTCACAGTGGAGGCTGGTATTTCACTAAGTCAGTCCTAAAATAGGTTCGACGTACAAAACGTTAGGAACTTGATATAATAGGTAATGATGCAGAGAAATCTAGTGGTGGTTGCTGATACTTTTAGTATCCGACTTACGGTCATCCGACATCGATTGACTGATCAACTCACTGAGCGACTGCTACTACTCCTACTTATTATAGGTGGGAGAGTCTATTAACAATAGAATAGGTGTGTTCCACTATAACATGGATGTGGCAGAATTTAGGTGTGGTGATCCATATTGACTAACCTGACTTTTCTGTGGAATTCAACCATCAGCAAAAGATCTGGACTGCAAAATGGCAGTTGCTAACAGGTGTCACCCATTTATGAAAACAGGCTATCAGAGTATACTGTATCCAAGGACATTAGGGATACTTATGAACAAGAACTAGATATGGGTCACTAATGGTTGGCTCATATCATATACTGAAAAGAGACTGCGGGCCCCATCAAGGGCTTAGTGCAATTAATGGTCATCATGCAGCACAACAAAGGGAAGGTGTGCCCAGTGATGGACTATCAACAAACACATTGATGCATTCACTGCAAATGCAGATGTTTGTATGGCCAAACTGCAAGTGGCCCCAACAAGGGGTGAATGTTGGTATACTTATGAAAAGTGTATCTTCAAGTACACATTCATGAGTCACTGTGGACATATTAAACCATGATGATTAAAGGGAAGCAGATCTTCCTAAAACAGTTGGGATTCAGCCTCAATATGGCCCCACTAGTCATGAAGACCATTACTAGCACTGCAGTTACAGGAGGCGTCAGAAAATCGGTGTACATTGACGATGTCTATGTCAGTGAAATCATCATGTCTGCTGAACATGTCAGGGCAAAATTGGCTGAGTATGAGTTTGAGGTACAAAGACCTAGAACATTTGAAGGATGGGACTTGCCTGCTCAAGCTGGAAGTGTGGGGTGAGTGTAACATTATGCAATGGATATGGGGATGCACAATCCCAGATGTCCCTGATCTCATAACTTGGCAGAATATCTTCTCACTATCCAAAATTGGAATTCTTTGTGAGCATGGATAGGACAGATAATTCCAAGGAGCAAGAATCATATAGGAATGATGTGGAGGGACATGAACCATATCTGTGACCAGGAGATCAGGTGGGAGTGAGGCAAACAAGTATCAGTACAGATGCAAAAGAGGCCCCAAATGTTTTGGTTCAAAGATCAAGTTATGCCTGCAATATAAGTTTCAATATAAACTACTGATTGCCTTAGTATTAAATAGTAATACCAAGCATACACTGTGCACCATTTACTCTAACTAGACTTGTTGGTTCCAATGCTGTATAGAAATGATGGAAAAATATCTGCTTCTGCAAATCTATAGACAAATCATAGAAATGCATGCTGGGATTTCTTCCTAGCCAATAAGATAGACCACATCACGGTCTCATCCGCCATATTTTTGTTTTCTTGTCTTGAAATCAGAATGCTGTGATCACTTGTCTGTATCCCTTTTGTGTGTTAACACTATTCTTAGTTTGTGAACTTTTTTACCTTTTGCTATTGTTGCTTTGTCTATTTTGTTTCACATATATTGTTTGCTTACTATTATTTTTGCCCTGTTTTCTTTCTTTTGTTTTTTTTGTTATTGTTTATTGCAAACTTTGTCAATTCTGTTTGTTGGGCACTTCTGCCAATTACATTTAACCATGGCCAATTACTCTACAGAACATACAATTAGTGAATATCCAATTACACTCAAGTTAATGTTGCCTCAGTTTCCATATCTTTCTGCTAAATGGTGCATAGCAAGATTAAGATAAACTGCTCCACTGCTCAGTTTTTAAGAACCAATTGCATTGTTTTCAGTTTTTATTCTAAAATCAAAGCCCCTTACAATGGTCTTTCTTCTAAGATTCAGGACCCTTACTTACTTTCTGTATGAATCCTTCTCCCCTCCTGCTATGGGTTAAATAGTATGATTTGTATCTGGGGAAAATCATTGTTATTCACAAGAAATAATGCAATATGAACTCAAAAAAAAAGAATTATTCTTACAATCCAAAATTTGTTCTGCCAACAAAGCGTTGATAAGCTCCAAAAAAACAAATCGATCAATTTGATTATTTTTTTTCTAAGACCCATGTTCCTTACTTTTAGTCTTTAAGATGCAGGTCCATCATTTCTGTCTTTCTTCTAAAATCCAGGCCCATTATGCCATTGCTGAATGTGAGAAGCGACTTGAAAAACAAGGACGTAATGTTTCAATTGTTACACAAAATATAGACGGACTCCACTACCGAGCTGGATCCTCCCGCATTACAGAACTCCATGGTAAGCGACCCTCATTCCATCTGTAAACTTCAATATCACTAATAACAAAAGACACTTTAATTTATCACTAATCAGAATTTTATATTTTTTTCTCCCTCTTTGTTTGAATGTGCAGGTCATGCAATGGATAGCAACTCAGAATGAGAAATCAGAGAGCCAGGTTCAAATTTGAGTTGAGTTCATTACACTCACTTTTTTTTTTCTTTTTTTTTTTTTCCCAACAATGTTCACCCTGAACAAGGCCCAAGAGCCACTCAAGGTAGAGAATAAGAGACACTGTTTATGGTGACATGTGAGGAAGATAACAGTTGACCCTAAATTTGAACAGGTTAAGATTGCAGTGTCGAAGACGCATCCTCTTGGGAGTCAATTCCACAAAGCAGCTGCTCAAGTGGAGCTTACATCTCACCAATGGAATATGAAAGGAATGAGTGGCTCACAACAATGTCATATCTAAGTGCCTCTCTGGTGAAACATGTCTTTGATTAAAAATTTTCCACTTTGTCTCATGATCTTCACTTTGCTTTAGATATATCTTACCAAAACACATACACACATATATATAATTCTCAAAATGTGTGTGGGTGTGTGTGATCGGATGTTGTTAAGTTTTCATCCAATTTCGATGAACTTCTTTTTGTTTGATAGATAATTCTTCAGTCAGCACTGAAGAATTATTTAAGTCCAAATTGGCGAGAAAAAATTACAACCTCGAAGATGAAAAATCAAAAAAACTGATTTTTATACTTTGCGCAAAAATCAAAGGCAAAATTTAATGTCTGTAAAAATCAGCATACAGTCAATTTAGAGAGTTGAAATCTAATGCAAAAGATTATTAGAATTATGAAAAAAAATATATATTATAAATAAAAATTATCATATATTATTATTATGATGGTCCATGGAAGCGGTTCCTTCCTTGCAAGATTGAAAATGCAAAAATAGCCCTTTTCAGGGCCACCCCACTTCCATTTAAATTGTTACCCGCCACTCCATTTGGGGATGTGCCTCAGTTGCACCCAATTGTTGTTACTAATATTGATTTTTCAAGTGGGCTGACTTTAAACCTAAACTACTCAAAGTGAATGGCAAAAATTCCCAGTAATGAAACACCCAATCAAAGATGGGTTATACTGCTAGTATATATATATAATATGTGTGTATGTATATTGACCACTAATATATATATATATATATATATATATATATATATATAAGATAACAAGACAAAGTGTAAAATTTATTAACACATTTCACCGAGAGTGTCTGCTCTCTTTGGCTTCCTCAGGTTAGAATGAAAGAAAGACAAAACTGTATGTGAAGAACAATGCCTTGGGATATCTGAGGATAAGTGGTGACCATAAATCAAGTTAGATTACTTTATCACTTCCAATGCCAAGACTCGTGTTTTTTTTGTTTTATCTATACCTATATTAGAGCTGTTTGGTGTTGCTAGATTTTAAATGAAAGTTATCCTGAATGGCAACTCTTCTAGATCCTTTGTACTAATCTCCAGAGCTCTATCATATTTTGTTTTTAATTTTCATCAGTGACCAACCCAATGCCATTAGCTCTCAACTTGGTACCTATGCTGATGACACAATCATTTACTCCTGTCGCAATAGTAAGTCTTAGTGCAATAACATCAAATTGGCAGCTAATGTCAAAAACGGCCTTCAGTCTGTCATTAACTGGGGCAAAGAATGGCTTGTTAATTTTATCACCTTGAAAACTAAACTGCTCTCTATTAATCATCTGAGAGACTCCTTTCTGCCTTCCATCAGCATGACTGATGCTAACCTCCAGGAGAGGAACTTATTCACCTTATTGGGCTAGCATTTTCAGCTGACATGAAGTGGAAAGACTATTTTGAATCCATTGATAGGTCAGTCAGCTGCTAAGAAAGTTGGTTCACTGTCTCTTGCTAGACAATTTTTCTCCCTAGGATCTATCTTAGATATCTATAAGTCTACCATTCATCCATAAAATAAAATATTGCTGCTACATATGGTACAGTTCACCTGCTATATATCTAGAGATCCTTGATAAAATCCAAGGAAGCATCAGCAATATTATTGGTCCTGATCTGGCATCCCAGCTTCAGTGACTTTCCCAAAAGGTTTTTTTTATAAAAAGGAAACTACAATACATATCAAGTCAACATTTAATCTCCTTCAAACTATTTTCCCTTTTGAATTCATGCACTCTTTATCCAGCAAAGGAAAATCTTGATATTGTTGAATTTGCCTTTGTGTTTCTACACAGCTAATATATTGATGGTTGTGTTAGCACAAACTCACTAGTCATCGTGACTGAGGGTTTGAGTGTATTGGCCTTGTTCAAACTGGTGATCATGCTAGCTTATGCACTCTCTCTTAGAAACTATAAGGTTTACTCAGCATCTATTAAGTGCCATACACGATACACACATGGGTGATCATGTCTCTTTCAATTCATGACTGACTAGGTAGATTTTCCCGCAGTACTGTTCAACCCATAGCTGGTGGGCAGAGAGGAGATGTATTCATACCTTTCCCAAGAATATTTCTGCATAAGTGAATGTAGAAAACACAACTGGAATTTGAACTCAGCTCTCCAATTTCTCATTCCAAGCTGATATCCATTACATGACACTGCAGATCCATACTCAGCATGCTGATGGTAACATCAATCAGCTAAGTGACCAACTTTTACTCATATTAATCCTATTAATGCTCTATCTTTTGCAGAATTAAGATTATAAAAAAATGCATAACACCGGTTGACAATACCAAAAAAATTAGATTAATTATTTATTACAAAAAATTTAAAACCTCTAACCTTATAGTTAAAAATAATAATTCACCTCCTACAACAAAATTAAATAGGGAAAATGTTATTTACGAATTTAAATGCCCATTAAGGAATTGTATTCCTGATCAATCAAAATTCGTAAATAATTATATAGGCCACACTACAACATGTTTGACATGCAGACTCGCTCTACACCTTTCTAACCATAGCTCAATTAGATCTCATTTAAATATTCATAGAGACCTACCGGACACTATTCATAACATACTTGTTGACAACACTAATATAATAGCCTCATCTACATGCAAAAAGAGGCTAAAAATAATGGAAGCCTTATTAATAAAAACAACAAAAAAACAACACTTAATAATATTAACTTTGAATATGGACATAATATCTTGACTGTGTTTTGAAAATAAAAAACATTTTATAAAACGTACACACAACAAACTATTTCTTATTTAACAGTTAAAATATTTCATCCTTGAAAATGGCAAAATTTATAGCCGAAAGCGCTCAGATTGAACATTCGGACATTTTTTATATAATTTATCATCCAAAAAGAAAAAAATTATTAGATTGCATGAGAAATTGTATAAGAAACTAAATAAAAGCACCTTGTCTGTCGTATTCAATTCATGAAAGAAAAATTGCTGCCTGAAAGAAAATATATATATATATATATATATATATATATATATATATATATATATATATATATGAGGCATGGTGGAGTAGTGGAGAGCAGCATGGAATGAGAAATTGGAGCGCTGAGTTCGAATTCCAGTTGAATCCATTACACTCACTCACATGCTAATACCCTTAGGTAAAGGTATTAATCCTCTTTTTCTCCCTCCAGCTATGGGTAAATAGCAGGACAGACTGGGTTCTATAGCCTTAGATCACAATTGGTCTAGGAAAAGAACAATTCTGAATTCAAAACCTGCGGAGGGTCGTTTGGGGATCTTGTGGCACATAGTGCACCAGGGTCTGTATTCAGCCCTTCAAAAAGTGTGGTTAGTTCTGCACAAAGCCTTCACCACTATAATCAAATCCTATGTGCTGGTGTCTGACTGTTGGTTCCTAGGAACTAAGATGCTTGACCCTCATGTTGAATACAATGGCAGAGTCCACTATATATATATATATATATATATATATATATATATATATATATATATATATATATATATATGCGCACACACACACACAAGTTTAATTGAAGACTACTGACTGTGATTAATCTTTTTTATTAAATTTTTCTTGCATTCATACAAGCATTTTCTTTTCCGGACATAAAGTTAGGTGAAAACTGTCCAAATGTTCTAGAGATCCAAGTGTTTTTGGCTAATCTATTGGCCATTGTCATTATTATTTTGGGTTCATCAATTAGACATTTTTTTTTTTTTATTATAACTGAGTATGTAAATTTTTATATCTATGTGTCTTTAAGGATTTGAATGTTTTCTTTGTTTTTTTATATATTTATGAACACGGTAACCATGTTGTCGCAGTGTTCATAGTTGATATTATTGAGAGTTGCATTTTCTCATTAATAATTCCATTACTTTTAATAGCATATTTATTTACAACACACACACATATATATATATATATATATATATATATATATATATATATATGTAAAGTATAAGCGTTCTCAAAGCAAATTTGTTGCTGATTACTCTTCCAACAAACGCCATAGCCAAAAATGCCCGAATTTTCCTTCCTCGGCAGATTGCACACAAAACACGAACTTTTTTCCAAGGTACCTGATTATCTCTTTCACTACACTCCCCCCGTCACATAAGTGACACTCATGGGTGGGCCTCTTTATTCTTAAGCTTCTCCAGAGCAGGTCGACTGTTGGAGGAGATTGTGTGTTATGTTCTGAGGTTTCTTCTGATCTGACAACCTCATGCGCAGTCTTCATCATCTGAAAAATGTTCTGAAGATTCTTCTTCTGAGGATTCTTCTGGTCTGACAACCCCACGCACAGTCTTCACCATTTGAAGAGGTACTAGCCTACCTCAATAGTAATTATTTGTTCACTTTCTGAGCACTCACTGCTAGTGTCACTTGTTGGCGTATCTGTACCTACATAGTGGCGCAAGTCCTTTATGTCTTGGTATGCCATCAACCAGCACAGAGCTGAGTTACTTGGTCCAGTGACATGCCCCACGGTGCAGGTTGTACACGGCTATGTGGAGCTTTCACCCACACGATCGCCCAAGTCATACGGTGCACATTCGTTTATCCGTTCAGTTGAACGCGTTGTGTCAATGCCTCGTAGCTGGACTTTGTACTGATAAATCATGTTGGCTGGCGCAGTTGAGGGCGATACATTGTTTCTCGTAGTAACATTGTACCAATACACCACCTCCATTATGGAACACTGCTTCCTAGCAGCGATTCTTTTGATGCTCCGATGACATCGCTCGATTATGCCATTCCCTGATGGGACATACACGCAGTGAAATCTGAGATGTACTCCCAACAAATGCCGTAGCCAAAAATGCCCGAATTTTCCTTCCTCGGCAGATTGCACACAAAACACAAACTTTTTTCCGAGGTACCTGATTATCTCTTTCACTACAAAAGTGCCATACACAATACATGCATGTATATTCTATATATTATATAGAACATGGTAACCACATTGTCACCATGTTCATAGTTGATATTACTGAGAGTTGCTTTTTTTTTTATTAATGCTTCCATTAATTTTAATAGTTTTTTGTATTCATACAAGTATTTTCTGTCAAAATGTTCTATTGATTCAACCACTTTTGGCTTTTATTATCAACATTTTTTTAACTAATATATATGAATTGTGATCAAATAAAGATCAGATATGGATTGAAATCTGACAGAATGATTAGATAAAGGACAAATACTGTTTATCAATCTGACATTTTTCACTTTTATTAAAGCTTCTGATGAAGTATTTATAGGGATGAAAATTTTTTTTAATTTCTGAACATGGTCAGTATGTTGTGGCCATGTTCATAGTTGTTATTGTTGATGAGGCTTTTATGGTTGTATTTTCCACACGTATGTTGTGGGTAGACCTCAGTAGGTTTTCATGTGTTTAAATGGGCCCTAATGAAACTATGATATTCTGTTAAAAATAAACATCCGTGATAATGGCTAAGATTAAGATTTTTTTTCTACAGTTCTGACCACTTCTTTTCTAGTTTTTTTGAACAAAAAATTTGCAATGTCTTCTAAGAACATTCAGCTTTCATAAGGCATTATCTATTTTAGTTTTATGTTGAAACAGTTGGATCTATGCGTATGTATCATGATTTCTTTAGTGTAAACATAGACACAATCTGATTAACACCAAAATAAAACTCTTTGATAATGGCTTATGAAATCTGAAAATGCTTGTAAGACATTAAACAATTTATGTTCAAATTTTCCCTAGAAACCAGAAAAGATGATCAGAACTGTTCAAATATTCTTAACCAAAGAACTTTTGTTGGTGTTCAACCAGACCTTGTATAAATGAAAAATGACACCCAATAAGTGTATATATTTACTCATATGAATATGTAAATATTGTATCTCCTGTAAATAAATATGCAAATAATATCTACCATGAATAAATATGTAAATTTTATATTTACTGTGTATTTTCCTTTTGAAGTTTGACAAGTTTTGAGTTGATGATTTTTATTTACCTTTTTTTTTTTTTTACTCTCTTTTTTCTTTTTATTCCACCTTGACCAATTCCACCAGGAAACCTTTTCAAAACCCGATGTACAAAATGTGGAGAAGTTGCTGTAAATAAAGACAGTCCAATTTGCGAGTCGTTAGCAAGCAAAGGGTAAGTATAATATACCTAAAATCTGTTAAAAATGATTCCTTAATAGAGTAGATATTTATGCAACTGATCCAAGAACTTTTCTTTTAAAAGGTACTTCTTAACTATCTTGGTTCCATGAGGAATAGGCTGATGCCACTCTTGAATATACTGTTATTCCAAATCCAGGACCTTCTCACTCTGTGGTTGACTTCCACCACTTCTTATCTTTGGCCATACTGGGTGTTGTAGCATACCTATGGACGATAATGGGTATATTCCCATTCACATGTTTACAGTAGTAAATACTGTATGTTGGTCTGCAGTTAGATTCGTCTCCAGCTATGCTGGTCAAACTCTCTGCCTTTGGGCGGAGAAGATCCCCAAACGAGGCTATGTCTTTTCTCAAGAGACAGCTATCTGATCCCATTTTATAAATGGAATTTTTGGCCAAACATATGGGCTTGGATACCCCACATTAAATTCAGCCTTGTGACACATTTGACTGTGTGGAGTGGTTGGAAGATATCCTGCAGTTGGAAATTCATTGTGGAATTCACTTGACTCACTTCTAGCAGTTGACTACTTCTACGCACCGCTGGTGAATCTTATATGTGTTGTTCGTGTCCTAAGTATTATCATGCATTAATAACCTTTGTGTAATTACTCTATTCAGTAACCTTCCCTAGGTTACAACACTGGGTCATGTAGGGCTTAGGTGTTGAGTCAGATCATTGCACCATCTTGCCTTTGGCCACCCTCTAGTTCTTTTCCACTGCTTTGGTAAACACTCTGTCACTCTTATAGTCCACCTGTTGTTTCGCAGACGACAGATCTAGCCAGTCCATCCATATTTGCCCTTCTTGATCATCTCTACTATGTCCTTCACTCCAGTCTACTATCAAATCCAGGTGTTTCTCTTCCTGTCATATGAGGTGATGCTGAGCATGATTCGCACCATTTTATGTTGGGCTACTGCAAGAGCCTCTGCTGTGGTGGCATTGAGCACCCATTAGACAGCTAAATTCTATGGTTTATCTTTGTTTGTGGTAAGTGTTCACATCAGAAGGTTGCCAGTGTAGAAACATGATAGGACAATTATTTTATCGGAAACTTTGGGAATAAAATGAATTGACTAAAGGGTTTAAATAAATAATATATTTTTATCTATTTTCTTTAGAGTGATGAGTGAGTCTTTTCGTATTTAACGTAGTAAAAAGTTCATTAGTAAGGCAGATATTGGTAGAATCTGGAGAAAGGTCCATTGGTGGTGTCTTGAAATAAAACCATGATAGGAGTAGTAGTAATGTTAGAAATTGGGTCAATGTCAATTTACTGTGTTTTTCTCAGCCCTGAAGAGGGTAGAAATATCAGTAGCAAATGACCTCTTAACTGCGTCTTAATGTGTCACACATGGCTGGTTTCTATGTGTAGCATTCTTTTGCTATGTCCTCCTTAGACATCTCTTCTACCTCTAGCCCAATGGTGTCAGATTTATATCCTTTTGATCAGGCTCAAGAATTTGGCACAAACATCAGTTTACGCTAACCTCAAAGGACATTTTGTGTCAATTTTTTTTGATTGGCCAAATTATTTTATTTTCTGGCATTCATTTCTTTTTCATAATGGAAGTTATGTGTGGAGCCACCCTGATTTTTGGAATTTTTTCAGATACAAATAAGTAGGCACTGCTCCTGCAAACTTTCAGCCTTTTTTCAACCGGGTTCAGTCATCTTCTTCCTCTTTTTATTTGTGGGTTGCTTTCTCGTAGGTTGAGAGAAGTATAGAAAGAGAAGTTTAGAGAGAGAAAGAAAGAGATAATTGTTTTAAAGCAAAATGCAAATGCTTTATTTTAATTTGAATTCTTTTTATTTTTGTTTATATATTTCATGTTTATATTTTATTTTATTTGTTTTTGGATTGTGGGTCTGGATCCAGCCTGGAATATTTTTAATTTACCCAGAGTTGGCCTGATTCCAAAATGGTATAATGCGTTGGGCTATGGCCTCTAGGAGTAAAGTTGAAAAAGTGTGACATACTGACATTCACATTTATTTATATAAATGAGAAGAAAAAAAAATGAAGATTCAGAATTTTAATTTTTTAATTTTGTTTTTCATGCCTTTTTTTTTTTTTTTTTTTTTTTTTTTAAATGTTGGTATTATGCTTTATCTTAAATGCATATTGAAATTTCATGCAAGCGTAAATATTCATTTTCTCACTTGCTCATTTCCTTTTTTTTTTTTAGTTGCCCTAATCCAGAAACCAAAAGATGCTGCAATTCCTGTTGAGCTTCTTCCAAGGTAAAAAACTAATTTTTGGTACCTGGCTTAAAATTAACAGGTGATATATCTTTTTCATGTCATATCTATATATATATATATATATATATATATATATATATATATATATAATGCAAAATGACCAAGGAGGGAATTCTGAGACTCGAGTCTCCCAGCCTCTAATTTAAAAACAACTTGAAACCTGCCATTTAATCAATACAAGGCCTGACCAAAATTAACAATAAAATAAGAAATGAAAGCTACAGATAACGTTCACTTTCTTCAGAAACAATCATTCACTCCTGAAGTTCATTGCTACTAACAAGCAGGGATTTTTTTTTTCCTGATAATGGCCATGCTTGTCAAAACCAGTCAAGGATCCTAATGGAAATAATAAAACAAAATATATTAATATACAACCCTATGTGTCTGAGAATTTGAATTTTTTAATATTTTTTATTGTTCAAAACATGTATAAGAAGGTGTCGTTGGTTCTGCACAAAGCCTTCACCACTATATTCAAATCATATGTGCTGGTGTTTGGGATGTTGGTTTCTAGGAGCTGAGCTGCTTGACCCTTATACATCGAATAGGACAAGAGAGTCCACCATTTTTATATATATATATATATATATATATATATATATATATATATAAAGAAAAAAAATTTTTTTTTTTTTTTTTTTTAATTTTTCAAGCTTTTTAAGGAGCTTGATTTTGATATTGAGATAGAAATGAACTTAAAGTTTGCTCAATACCTCAATGTCAAATTAAATCTTACAAATAAAAGTGTCTCCCTTTACATGAAAGCAAACAGTAGGTTTCTCTCTGTAAACAGTATGTTAAACTACCCTAAGGAAGTAATTATGCATATGCCTAGGGGGATTGAGTGTAGATTTTCTAGAAATTCCTGAAATATGGCAATATTTGAAGAAACAAAAAGTGGCTATGCTAGGGCTTTATTTAAAGATGGGCATAAAGATAGGTTTAAACTAGTCATAACATCTGAAAATGTTGACCGAAAAAGAAATGTAGTTTGGTTTAACTCCTCTTTAATTTAGTGGCAGAAACAAAAATTAGAAGAATCTTCTTAACATTGTTAAATAAGCTTTCTCCTAAAACATCCACAAGCAATGTAAAAATCTGTTACAGTTGCATGAAAAACAGAAAAAATAAAAGGGAAAAATGATAAAAAAAAAATTGGTTATGCAGAGAGCCACTGCAGGAGTGAAAACAGCCAAGAAAAAATATAACTGCTGAAATACAGTAAATTGTCTGCTAAATGGTAACTCCCTGGTGGAAGTGCTTGTTTATAGGGAAAAAGTGGGACCTATAAATAGCCAACAAAAAGTGTATATTGGTTTAACAGAAGGAATGCTCAAAGCAAGGTATTACAACCATAAATCATCCTTTAAACTAGCAAGGTATAAAAACAGCACAAGACTTGCTAGTTATATATGGGAAATGAGAGAAAAAAAATTAAGGAGACTTTCATTGTAAAATGGCATGTGGTGAGGAAAACCCATTCATTTAGTATTGGGAACAAAATGTGTAAATTCTTCCATTAGGAAAATAATGCAGTACTCTGACCAATATAAGCTGCTAAATGAAAGATCAGAGGTAATGACAACATGCAATCATGCTAGAAAGTTTCTCCTGGCCAGTTATAAGCCCAGGTAGATATATTTATATCAAATATTTTTTTAATTTTTCCCTCACCTTTTTACTTCTTTCTTCCTCCCATTTATCAGTGGCATTTATATATATATATATATATATATATATATATATATATATAAAAAGGCTTAAACACTAATATTCCATGGTCATAATTTATTCCATTGGAATCGTAATTATGATCCAATTCATCAGACCTACAAATTCAAAAAGAAAACAGAAAAAAACCAACTTCGGAAATAAAAACAGAATTTAGAGAGAGTGTAAGTATGAGGAGGAGGGAGATTAAACCTTAACAGAGAGAATTTTAGGAGATATGGGAGAAAGGGGTTTATAAATAAGAGAAAAGAATGAATGTTGACGGATGTCTAATGTATAAAGATACATTTCGTGGTGACATACACACACCATAAGTGTTTCTTGGGATGGAAGATTCAGTTTACTGACTGATGATATATATTTTCCATATACCAAAAAAGACCTTGCCATTATTATATTGTATGAGAAGAACTGATCAGGAGATCTGTCCCTTTGTGATGAAGCCCTGAATGTGAGGTTAGCAGCCAAAGTGTTCAGCAAGTCACCTATGGTGAGCTTGCCGAACATTTCCAGCTTTCTGATGAAACAAACAGACTTTGCCTGCACTCCATAGAGAAGATGTAAAAATTAAGCAAGTGGTTACCCACACTGTCAGAAGACAATAAGCAACTTCTAAACATTGTTAATATGATAATAAACATGAGGACAACAGTCTATAATGTAAATAGTGTAAACTAAATTATAATGTAAAAACAAAAATTTCTTACAATCTAAAAATATTTCCTGGCCTTAAATAACCTATAAAGTAACCCATTTGTCCTTGCTTTGAATATTGCTGCCACATCTGGTCTGCTGCTTTAAATAACCTATAAAGTAACCCATTTGTCCTTGCTTTGAATATTGCTGCCACATCTGGTCTGCTGCTTTAAATAACCTATAAAGTAACCCATTTGTCCTTGCTTTGAATATTGCTGCCGCATCTGGTCTGCTGCTTTAAATAACCTGTAAAGGGTTCATAAGCTATAGAAAAGGAATGAATAAATCAACATCTTTCATTATCTGTTATTACACGACTCTGTTAAATTTCTGTACCTGCTTTCCCCAAGACTAAATTCAAAATTGGATCTATTTCTTTTGCTGGCAAACAGTTAATAGTTAGCCCATTCTTCTTGCTTTCCTTTATTATCTTTGATTCTTTATTTTTATTGTCTTTATTATTATCATCTTTATTATCTTTTATATTTTGTCTAATAGTTCTTTCAGTTTTTATTTGGAGTCTGCTATCAAAACAGTGTCATCCGCTTATCTTAAATTGTTATGGTCATGTCTCTCCATAATAAATCTGGGTGGGTCTTCTAATTCTCTTAGGATTGTCTCCCTTTTCAGGTTAAATAAACCTGGTGAGAAAATACATCCTTGTCATACTCCTCCTTTCTATTTTTGTGTATTTGTTAAACTTGACCTTTTGTTTGCATGGAAGCTGTTTATTTCCTGTAGAGGTTATGGATTACTCTAATATCTTTCTGATGTAAATCAAGCTTACAACTATAACACAGAACAGTCTTAAAAACTATTGAATTGATTCTGTTTTATATTTGGTTTCAATCTTTCTCTTCAATGAAGGTTTACTTTTCCTTTTAATTCTGAAAAGAAAAAATATTCTGAAGAAATTTATCTTTGTTCAAATTATGGCAGGTGCAAAAAAGATTCCTGTAAAGGTCTGCTACGTCCTCATGTTGTTTGGTTCGGTGAATCACTTGATCCTGTTGTCTTGATGAAAACTGAAGAAATTCTTGAAAAATGTGACCTTTGCCTTGTGGTAAGTTCCTTTTGATTCATTTCCTACCTTCTCTTTTTTTAAGAGACCAATTACCATTTTCTATATGTAGGTGAGATTTTAGTCAGGTGAAAATGACAAAGCTAATGAGCAAAAGATAAACATAAGAAAAGCCAAAATTTTACCTGTATATATGTAGTTTGCTTGAAACAAAAAAAAAAAATGGCATACCCCAATCTAATTTTTTTCTTAATCAAATTACTCCAAGCAAGGTGGTAATGTCACTAAGATGCAAGGGACTACTGGAAGTGAAAGAGAATAAAACTTTAGAAGGAACAGAAACCCAATCTTAAACAGCAAACAAGGGATAAACCTCTACTCCTGTTCAAAAGACAGGGGTGAAGATTGAACCGAACAATAGGCAAACCTATCTACGGAAAAGAAAGAAATAGTAAATAAAATTTCAGAGTTTAGGTGGAGACTTTAGAAGTATAGAGCTGGAGAAGATATTAGAAAGAACTGGAAACACAATCATGAAGAGCAAACAAATGATAAATCTCTACTTCTGTTCAAAAGACCAGGGAGGAGTGTGAACTGGACAATAGGCAATTCACACTCCTCCTTGGTCTTTTGAACAGGAGTAGAAGTTTATCCCTTGTTTCCTGTTCAGGATTGGATTTCTATATTCCAGAATTATGTGCCCTCACATATTGTATTTGAAAGCATGTAAGATGAAATTTTAATTGCATGTAATAACTCCAAAATTGCCTTACATCTTGTATGCTAAGTTGAGGCCTTTGCAGTCTAATTCTATCTCTAATAGTCACTACCATTGGTTATAATTTTATAGCCACTCTTACCATAATCAGTTTATTCAAATGAGATTATTATTGTTATGACTGTTACTGGTACTGTAAAAGGAATTATATTAAAGTACCAGTGACATCATGTAGGATATTTTAACTGTTTTTGTGATTTCTTGTTTTATGTTCAACTCTACTGCAGCTTGCTTTTTATATACAGTGATGCTTTCTGCTATAATGCTTTTGTAATTTAATGTCTTGATATAATATCTTGCTTTAAATATTAAAAGGTTACATATGCTAGAAACTTTTTTTCCTAAATGTGCCCAACTGAAATTGGGATGCGTCTATAAGGCCCATGTATCATGCCAATTATGGTGCTGCCAAATCTTTCTTTGTGTAGACAACTTTGAGCAGTCTAACACTGTAAGATAAAGCTTTAAATTAATTATGTTGATCAGGATAGTAGGAGGTCAGCAACAAACCTCTGTGTTTTGGACATCAAACTTAGCTAGATACAGGCCTTAATTTCTGTTTCCTGGGGAATTCTTCAGGGATATTTGTATTGATAAAAATGTTTGTTCACTTCCAGGAGTCCTAGTTTCAGAGCTAAGCTCTATGTGTGCCATGATTCCTGATGAACCCCACTTTTTTCATGGTCTTCATGTCCCTCTCATACATGATACTGCTACATTGGACACACGGTAATTTTCAGATGCAATTTTTTTTTAAAAATCCGCCTCTAATAGGCTGGCAAATATGTTATTCATTAGATATACTTGTTTATTACATACTACCTGTGATATAATGAGTTATATAAACATCTAGTTCCTAAATAATCCTCTTCTTCATCACTAAACGTTTTCAGTGGTCAAAAGAAAAGAATTGTAACTTGCATATTTGAAAAGAACAACAAAAATTGTCACCATTTGTTTATTAATAAGAGAAATATTTTAGATTACTCTCAAATGAGAGCAGAATTGAAAGCATGGGCAAAAACTATGACAAGAAAATCATTCCCCTTGCAGGAAGAGACTGCATTAAGTGTCTGGACACTAGTACACTTTTACTTGTATCAAAATGTCTGATGTCACTTTTATAAAAAATTTTCTCTCCAGAATCTATCTTACATATTTATAAGTCTACCATTTGTCCTTGCTTTGAATATTGCTGCCACATCTGGTCTGGTGCACCTGCTATATATTTAGTAATTCTTGATAAAATCCATAGAAGAATCTATAATGTTATAGGTCATGACCTGGCATCTTGGCTGTTGGAATTTTGGGGTACCCTGTAAGTACTAGTGAGCTAGCCAAAATGAGCTGACTCATTTTATAGTCCACCAATAGACGGCTTAACCAATCAGAAAGCTCAAAATGTTCAATCTGACATGTATAAAGGCAGCCATTTTGTTTTTTCTCCCAAAATATCTCCACTGCCAACCAGATATCAAAGACTTAAAGAATTAACAGCCACTACTTTCTCCAAATCTACACTGCCAACCTCTGATATTGAAGAGATTACGGACTTAACTGGATTCCATATTCAGAGACTACGGCAAACAGGGTCAACATTGGCTTCAATCACTTTCCCACCTCCATAACATAGCTTCCCTGTGCCTTTTTTATAAATACTTTCATGATAATTGTTCTGATGAGTTTTCCTCTTTGGTACCTTGACTTTACGAATTGCAGTACTAGATTGGCAGCTAGGTCTCCTTGTTTTGCAGTTGAAATGGCTAAATATAACTATTAATTCTATGCCAACAGTTTGTTCCCTCACACTTCTTGCTTGTAGAACTCTCTTCTGGCCTCTTGCTTTCCAGCTAAGTTTGATCTTCAAAAATTTAAATGCAATGTCAATCGTTATCTTCTGCTTTCTTAATTCCTGTTCTTTTATTGTTCTTTCTCTTTAATAATGTTTTTCTTTTTCTTATATTCATTCACACTCAGTAACCCCCTTGCATCCAAGTGGCTTTATTACTTTGCTTGGGGTGAAATGATTTTTAAAAAAAATGAAAAAAGTCGTCCTAAAACTTCCAAGTAGTGAAATTCAGAATTCTGATAGCACTAGACATTCAAAAGCAGATCCCAAAATTTCTAGTAGCAAAATAACAAATTTAGTAATTTAGTGATTTATAAACATCTAAGTGTGGCAATCCTGAACTAAAGTACTGTATTTATTTTTTTAAAAAAGTATTTGATTATATTATTTTTTTAAAATTAAATGGTTATGATTTCTTTGCTTTTCAGGTTGGTACATCATCTATTGTCTACCCAGCTGCTATGTATGCTCCTATGGTAGCAAGACAAGGTGTGCCTGTAGCTGAATTCAATACTGAAGAAACACCAGCCACATATTCACTTGGGTAAGAAGAACATTTTAATGTTTTTACCTCTCTTTTTTATCTTCTGATATTTTAACTACTTTCACCATTTGAAACTGGGATATTTTGATATGATATCATATTGGCAAACTACCATTGCTTCCACTTCTATCATTACCATCTATAAATTGTTTTGAATTACTAATTCATTGCTAGAATAAGAAGACCAAGGACAAAAGAGGTTCATCCTGAAATATCTTGTCAGCTGCTACAGGACAATCATTTCTTTCACTGACGTGAATTTTTTTTTTTTTACAACTAGAATTTTTTTAAATTCTCACAGTAGTTAGTATTGTTTTTAAAATAGTTGAAGTATTTTGTATGTTAAATAATAAAACTTTTAATTTTAAAAATTAAGGAAAATTTATTGTACTAAGCTACGCACCCTAGTAAAACAAATTGTAATCTGTACACATTTACCTGTTTGCACTTCTCTCCAAAATTTGGTTTTGATCGGTCAATGTATGGATATTTTAGAGCATGTGACTGATGGACAGACTAACAGAAGTCACAGAATTTTATATATTAATCTTTTATCAAGCATAAGGTCACATGCAAATAAAGTTTCCGACATTTTCCCGGTACTCATTTAACTGTACTGTTATAAATTACCTTGCAGCCTACAGATCAGATCATTTTTATAAGGTTTTAAAAAATATGCTCCCCAATGATAACAAAGCTTAAAAGTAGACCTTTGACTCCTGAAGAAATCTGAAAATTGTCTGGAAATGAAATATCTTGTTGGGAGGACAGAATTTTTTTTTTTTTTTTTTTTTTTTTTTTTTTTTTTTACACTTTAGTTCACCAAGTACAAGAGTCATTTAAAGTAGAGAGTGACTGTGTGAGATTGTAAGGGAAGGAGAAAGTAAGAAGTGAGGGTATGGATGATAGATATCGGTTGACCCTAGATGTTAAGATTTTAGGGGTCAAGGAAGCCACCTCTTGAGTGTTTCACAAATATTTCTCCCATATGTCCTTGTGTAACAACTAAAAGATCTTTTCTTTTTTTAATGCCCTGTGCTTTTCAGGATGATCATTGTTCTCCATCGATTCCTTTTCTTTATTATCTCTGAAGTGGCATAACGTCCTGAAAACGATAAGAGTGGTTTCCTGTTGCCTTCTTCATTGTTTTGAATTTGGAATTGTTTTTATAGAGTGACTACCACACAAGGCTAGAAAGCACAGTCTACTCTGCTATTTAATGCATAGCAGAGTAATTTTATTCATATAATGCCATATCTCTTCAAAATGTCTCTTCACAGATTCCTTCCTTTATTAAATGTGAACTGTTATGTATTGTTAGGAAAGATAATGGAATTGTCCTTCTTGTAGACTGTCACTCAAGTTGTGAGAGCTCAGGCTTTATCATCTTCATCATTACATCATATCTGCAAACTGCAGTTGACAAATCATGTTGGAAAACTGTGATCTGTTTCCTGCTTTTGTGACTAATCTTCTACTGCTGCAGTCAGTCCATTTCTTGGTGTTGCCTGACCATATTGTATGCTGCCAACTCTGTGTTCTCTTTTACTGATAATCTTCCCTGTTAGGAGCAATGATAAAATTCCTACTTGTCTCAACATGTAACCAAACAACACTGTTATTTGCCCTTGCTATTGTCAGATATAATTGCTGATGACCAATTTCTTTCATCACTAAGTTGTTTGTCTTCTTGTCAGTCCATGATTTTGTAAGATAATTAGCACCACATCTTGAACACCATGATATAGTAAGAAGAAATGGATTCATTTCTTTCCCAAGGGTATTTGTGTGAATGTGAATGCCACAGACTAAGCAAGGATTTGAACTCTACACACCAATTCCACTTTTAGTACCGATAACAGACTTAGTAGTAAACTTTATATATTAAGCTACACTGACTAAACTAAGAAAAGAGTACTGAACTGTGTTGTAATATCAGTCCTCCTATATGTACTGTACAATCTACTCACAGATGAAGAGGAAACTTAAAGTAACAGAAATATTGATTGATTCATTTTTTACAGTTTATCAACATTTTGCAGGTTATTTAAAACCAGAGAATTTTTTAGATTGTAAGAATTTTTTGCAATAATAATGATTTAGTGATAGAAGTCTTACTAATTAACCCATAGCTGGGGAGAGAAAAGACGGATTCATACCTTTCCCAAAGGTATTTGTGCATAAGTGAATATAACAAACCCGACTGAAATTGGAACTCGGCCTTCTGATTAACAATTCTGACCCATTATCCATTGCACCTCCTGCAATTGAAGCTTATATCACCTGGTATTCCCAAGCAGTCACTCATCTAGCTACTGCCAAGGTCAACATTGCCTAACTTCTTTCCTCATTATCTACCCTAGAAATTTCAACTGCCTCTTTATGATGTTAGGTACAAGCATGCTTTTTTGTTTCCATTTTCTCTAAAATTCATCATTGCTCTCATGTTCAGTCCATAGTATTCTCAGTATCTTTTTGGAGAATATTTCTTTTACTTCCTGCTGAAACCATTCTCACTAAAAACTGAATTAAATTTAGTTCATAGGTATACAGTTACTTACTCTGTAAGTTTTGATCTTTGCTATATATATCTTCAACTATTGTTTTAATATAAGAAATATCTTTCAATAAAAAAGTAAAATGGTGCTTAGCTACAAAACTTAATCAATTATTCCTCAGCTCTTTGTTCCAATCTTTGAAAAAATGTCATCTTTTGGTGGTATTCTGTGGAGAGAAATGAGGGAAAATGCGATTTCTGTTCAAGTTGGTTAATAGAGTTGGTGCTACTTAAATGGACTAATCTATTCATAAAAATAGGGAAGATTTGGCAGTACTTAAATAGACTGGTCCATTCATAAAAGTAGGGAAGGGTCCTTTTTATCTCTTCTTGTTCTACATCCAACTAAATTATGAAATTAAATCATTAAATTATCCCATTAATTAAATCATTAAATTATCCCATTAATTAAATCATTAAATTATCCCATTAATTAAATCATCAAATTATCCCATTAAATTAATTAAATCATTAAATTATCCCATTAATTAAATCATCAAATTATCCCATTAAATTAATTAAATCATTAAATTATCCAAAATAAAAGGAGAATTCTTTCATCTCTTTTTATTCTACATCCAATATCTTAAAGAAAATGGGAGTTGTTTGACTTGTTTCATTCTACATTCAACATCCTAAACAAAATGAGTTCTTTGACCTTATCTCCTTCTATGTCCAACATGAACAAAAAGAGTTTTCAACCAGAGAATAGTAAATTTCACTTAACAAATATATGCATAATGCCCAAATAGATGAGTAAATTCTGCTTTGGGCATAGAGCCTAATATGTTAAAGCATAATGAAGAGTTTGGAACTCTTGTGTTTATTAAGTTAAAAACAAATATGAAATTTCTTTCAGACTTTGGTAGAAAAGATTTTGGTCATATAGTATTTTTGTACCATAATGAAGACTACCAAACTACAAAGATGCTCCACTACTTGACCATGGTCTTAATCACCTTGTGCACCAAGCTTAACATATTAAACTATAATATTTAAAAATATTATAGTCTACTATATTAGGCTTGGTACCCAGAGATGATATTTTGTAATACCATCTTCTTTCAGAATAGAGGTGATCATAGCTCTCCATACAAGTGTGGCTTGTTATGCATTCTTGGTAAAGATAATGGACCAGATTTCCATTGCCTTCTCTATGGTTTAGAACTTGGAATTGTCCTCCTTGTAGACTGTCTGACACCAAAATCAAGAGTGCCCAGTATCTTCTGCTATTTAACCTGGTATGGTGTAGGAAGAAGGGAAGGACTAATTTCTTTCTCAAGGGAATTTGTGTGAAAGTGAATGCAACAGAATAAGCGGGAAATTAAACTTAGCACACCAATTCCACATGACATCCATTTAGTTGTATAAATGGGTTAATACCATTATGACAAGATCACGTTATGGACCAGTTTATTATATTTAGCAGTATAAACTTAGTTTATTACAATCTGTGATTCCAAAGGAATAAGGAGGAGGTGGGGTGAGAAAAATAATATGCAAAGAGAAATTAACCCAGAAATCATGACAATTTAACAAATTAAATTAACAAATTTAAAAAAAGGGGTGTGTGAAAAGGACGGTTATTCCCTTGATACTACTATTACGGTATACACTTTTGACTCCCTCGGCAACGTTTATTTACAAGATTATATTTTATTGACGTATGGTGGCTGTTAAATGGTATAACTCAAGAGTTCAATGTTAAAATAAAACAGTATTTAATTACAACTGCAAATAATTACTTAACAAGAACAAAGAAGTAAAAGTCAACCAAAGATAATTAACTATTTCAGTGAATACTTTGTCTTGGTTTAACATCCAGTAAATCCTAAATCAAAGCCCAAATCAGCAATGCACAATAATTCACACTAATTTGACTGGATAGTTCCATTCCATAGTCACTCAATAATCACTCCAGTCTGACACCACTATTTATACACCTAGTGGAAAAAAAACAACTTATATTCATAAGTCCAGATTGTCACGTTCGAACCTCGGTGTCGGTAGTTACTCATTTTCTTTCTATATGACACTTTCATTATAGACATCATCACTATAATCATTTTCTCTCCACATCTCTCACTCTTTCTCTTTCATTATAGACGTCATCACTATAATCATTTTCTCTCCACATCTCTCACTCTTTCTCTTTCATTATAGACATCATCACTATAATCATTTTCTCTCCACATCTCTCACTCTTTCTCTCTCTCTCTCTCTCTCTCTTTCATTATAGACATCATCACTATAATCATTTTCTCTCCACATCTCTCACTCTTTCTCTCTCTTTCTCTCTCTCTCTCTCTCTTTCATTATAGACATCATCACTATAATAATTTTCTCTCCACATCTCTCACTCTTTCTCTCTCTCTCTTTCATTATAGACATCACTATAATCATTTTCTCTCCACATCTCTCTCTCTCTCTCTCTCTCTCTTTCATTATAGACATCATCACTATAATCATTTTCTCTCCACATCTCTCACTCTTTCTCTCTCTTTCATTATAGACATCATCACTATAATCATTTTCTCTCCACATCTCTCCTCTTTCTCTCTCTCTTTTCATTATAGACATCATCACTATAATCATTTTCTCTCCACATCTCACTTTTCTCTCTCTCTCTCTCTCTCTCTTTTCATTATAGACATCATCACTATAATCATTTTCTCTCCACATCTCTCCTTTTTCTCTCTCTTTCATTATAGACATCATCACTATAATCATTTTTCTTTCCACTATTCTCTCACTCTCTCTCTCATTATAGACATCACTATAATTATTTTCTCTCCACCAGTCTCTCTCTCTTTCTCTCTCTAATAATAATAATGAATACTTAACAAGAACAAAGAAGTAAAAGTCAACCAAAAATAATTAACCGTTTCAGTGAATACCTTGTCTTGGTTTAACGTCAAGTAAATCCTAAATCAAAACCCAAATCATCGATGCACAATAATTTACACTAATTCGACTGGATAGTTCCCCTCAATAGTCACTGCAGTCAGTAGCCTGACAGTGCTATTTATACACCTGGTGGAAAACATATATTCATAAATCCAGAGTGTCAGGGTCAAACCTCATTTTTGGTAGTTACTCATTTTCTTACTATATGACATTATAAAAATATATGAAACAAGTAAAATGCAATATTTATTATTTATCTTTTATAAATATTTACCATTTTATAAAGAAATAAATTTGGAAAAACTTTTTATTCCAAAATTTATAAAAAAAATTAAAAATTATCAAAATATGTAAACCAACTAGAATGCAATATTTATTATTTAACATTTTATAAATAAAGTAAATTCATTTATTTTTGTTCTCTTGAAGGTTTCACTTTAGAGGTCCAGCTGGAACAACATTACCCACAGCTTTGGCTAAGCATCCTGATGAACCAACTGACTGATCCTAATGTCTTTCTCTTGGTCACAGATTAATAATTGTTTTACACTCAACACAGTCATTTTTGTTTTCTTCTACATGGATTTTGGACTTGGCTACATAGAACAGCATTGGAAATTATGGTGCTATTCTTCTTGTAAATCAGTGGTTCTCAGAATTCCAAGTCATATTCCTTAACTTGAGATCCCAGGTTTCTTCAATTCTTCCCCAATTTTGAATTGTCATCTAGTTTTTTTTTTTTTTTTTTTCACCATTATGATTGTAACTTGTACAGATGACTAAAATTTCTTACAAATTCCTTCCCTGGCTAAAATTCTTCCTCTTAAATATGAAATTCCTCTCCTGGGTGCCACTTGTTTAAGAATCACTGATGTAAATAATGACTAATGTATCCCATAAATATGTTAAAAGATTTGGGGGAATATTTGCAGATTCTACAGCTCATAGAAAATGAACATTAAAACAAATACATTTTGGTAATGTTTCTTTAAAAATAAGATCAATGACGTGTTTTCCAACACAGAAAACACATGACCAAAATTTTCCTGACAAAAGTATGATGGAAATTTTATATTTGTTTTTAACTACATTGTACTTTTGTTTTCTATGATCCTAGCAGAACTATTAATATTGTCCGAAATTTTGAACATATATTTTTTTAATATGATTTATATTATTTAACCAGCATAAAATATATATTTTCCTAATGTGACTAAATTATTTGTATATATTTATCCACTTGGCATTGAAGCAAAAAGTATTGTTTTAAAATTAGTGATAATAATGAAAAAAGCAGTTCTCACCTGAAGCTTGTAATGTTGACTTTTATAAAGTATTTAACTTTATTAAGTTCTTCATTTTAAAGACTTATGTTGCATATATAAACTTCTGTATATAAAATGAAATTGATTTCATTGTGGATGCTGTATACAGTAGTAGTAGATTAAATTTATATGTAAATTTTATATTTTCATGAAGCTATAACAAGTAAAAATAAACATATTATAACACACACACACACACATGAGTATATATTGTGCCAAGTGTGCTTAACGTGGCAGGGTTAGGGAATGTTTTTTTGTTACTGATTCAAGAATCTCAAGGCTGGCATGTCTTTTTATCAACTTGGAAGATTGGTACAATAAAATTTCCTTACCTTTGTTCGGTCATGTATCTGCACTAATTTTATATATATATATATATACATATATATATATATATATATATATATATATAAATATAAAGAAATTTTTGGAGATTTGAATAATTTCACATCATAATTAAGTCTAGAACAAGAATCCTCAACAGAATTCAGAAATCACTGGATGACTATTTCATCCTTTTTTGGGGACTTATCAGCAGTGTGTATCCACTACCGATAATCAAACCTGGACTATTAAGATACAAGTCTAGTAAGTCTCCTCTTCGTCACCAAGACCCAATGACTCAGTTGTATGATGCTTGCATTGTATTGTAACGGTCCAGGTTCAATTCTCAGTATCCCCCAAGTACTTTCAATCTCATCCATAAACACATGCATTCTCAACTATAAAAGTGAATGTCCTATTACAAAATAGCTATTATATGAAATTTAACAAACTGTGCAAAAGCAAATTCTTCAACAAAAAAGATTTTCTGCACTGAACTAAAAACATTAAACAAACTTTTATTAATAATGACTTTCCTAATTACATTGTTGATGAACAAACTAGACAAGATATTAGAAATATTAACATACCATCAAAAACAACATAATACTTCCTCAAATAGCCCTAAACATATTAAACTACACTACCATATTGCAATCAAATACATTCTAACTATAAACAAGATGAAAAATTTCTTAAAAAAAAAAAAAAAATCTCACAAGTACCAATATATCCCCCACTGATCCCAGCAAAAAAATAAAACTAAT